AATGAAAGATCTTATCCTACTAGGGTCCCCTTTAGGATTCAAGAAATACCCATTAAAACTTATTCTGATTTAACGTCTTGAATTTGAATTTTGATAACTCTTCCGGATCAGGTCATGAGTGATTTATCCCTCATGAATACCCTAATTTTGACGTAAATGACCTGCTTTTGATTGGATAGGGGAGAAGATTAGTTGCTGTGCGTATAAGTTGATTCAGAAACCCTTGACCGTTGAAATAAAAAAAAAAAAATTATATTGTCTACAAGTAATTTCTAGTCAGGTTCATCCCGTATTAAGTTGGTTTGACGAGTCAACTTTTTTATGACTCTAACTGTCAAGATTAAACAAAATATTCAATAATTTTGTGTTTGATAGACAATTATTTTAAGAATTAGCAGCCCTACTAAAAACGTTAACCTATTTTCTCTATGTGATAGTTATACTAATTGCTCGTAAGTAGGATTGTTAATGTATTGGATCAGATGAGGGTTGAGTCTTTGCTTTTAAGTTATTTGTTCAATGCTTCCAACCTGATTATGAATTTTGCTAATTAGAAGGATGTTTAATTGGGTTTGTGTCTATTTAACTATTAACAAATTTGATGAACCAACAACTTATAATCTCAATGTATTTTTGATTAAATGTATACTTGCAAATTTGTTGATTTTGCAACGTATTAATGGGTTGTGCCCTATAGAAAGAGATGAGAGAGTGACTCGGACACAATTGCAATCAACTACACATTAGTTTTGGACCTTTGGTAATCAAACTAGCAACAATCCATGGGTAATATACTACTACTTATCAGCATATTGTCTATTGACATTTTGTCCTCTAATCGACCTAATGGTACATTTCGTGCTCCGGTATTCCGTTGTAGAGCTAGCTTTTTTAATAAGTGGTTTAGATTATGTATCATTTATTTGTTTCAAATATCAGTTACAAGTGAAAGTTTTATGTACAAATTGTTTACATCTAAAAAATGGTAAAATTTAATGGTGATAATGAAAGAGTTTGTGAGAATCTATACTTAACAGGACGGTTAAGAAAGTGAGACTTTAAAAAAATCCTGAAAAAGTGAAGAGACAAAACTTCGTGAGCTGACAATTAAAAACGGTTCAGTGCACGTTTGCACATCTTGAACACGTAAAAGACCTTGATTACAATCATGACCGAAAAAGATGGCCTCGACGGTTGAAGATCATCACTATAAATAACAATGACAGGGCTACGGTGAAAAGATTCACGATCAAACACAACAAACTTTATCCACAGACAACCTCTCTCTTACTTAATTATTTTTACTTCCCAGTAACTTTACGTTTAGTTGTAATTCATCACTGTGGTGATTTTTACCGCTTTAATTTAATGTTAAGTATAATATTCTCTTTATCTTTCAAGTTTAGTTTATCTGCTACTTTACGTTCCAACTTTTTTTTACGTTCTAGTCCATTATGTTATTAGTTAGAAAATTATTTAAAGTCATTAATCTCGAAGGCATAGAAAAAAATTCAGAGGTAGCTTTACACCTTTACAATCGGTTGAACAATTACGATTTTAAAATTTCACATCAGTTCGAATAGGTAAGGTTGTACACGAAATAGCAATATACGATATTTCATTCTTTCTAAAATGAAGGTAAGATTAATACCTTAACCTTTTCGTGTAGGTGTCGATGCCCCTGATGGAATCGATAGAGATATCTAATACAAAAATGAATAAAGATAATATTAGAAGCTATATATAAACAAACAAGCGATATGCTTGTTTGGTAAAATACTACCCTCAAACCGTAAAAGAACCCAATTGATAAAATACCTTGACCTTTGCAACCCACTCGAATAGAATGACACACCCTAACCCTTTACCTTCAATACAAAAATCAAGATATTGAATTGATAACTTGACAGTCATAACATACAAGCAACTGATCTTACGTAACTCCTATTCAACTTGCAATTCTTACCTAAATTAAATCTCCCAAAAGCATCATCCAAACCTTTTCTATACCATTTTTTTTAAATAATCGAGAACGGTCCCAACATTACTCCTATTCAACTTGAAATTCTTGCAATAAATTAGGAAGATGTGCTTCTATACTTTTTCTATGTTCCTGAAATCGCTGTCTCATTATTCTTCCTTTCTTTCATATTTTGCCTTTTGGGTTAAATTTACGTAGGTGACTACATGAAATATTCAACACAAAAGTTGATGCTAATAGCTTCCAGTTTGGATTGGATCGTATTTATTGCCAAATTCCTAAAAGAGAATGTTTAATAGACTGCTCAAGTTCCGGAAATTCAACACATTCAAGTGCTTTTGGCACAAGATGAGATAAGTGGAAATGTTGTTGAAGTTTGAACTTAAAACACCAAACCAATATTTTTAATTTGACATCATAGAAGGCATTGAAGTGCGGTGCTGAATAATGCCATTGTTATCAAAACTCCCTCAAAGTAAACTCATTGATTGAACCCCAACATTTGTTCACATTTTGAGTTCTAGACAATTTATTAGGGTCAAATCATGAAAGATTTATCCTTAATGAATACCCTAATCTCGGTAAAGATGACCTGCTTTTGATCGGACCAGAAGAGATTAGTCACAGTGTACGTAAGCTGACCTGAACACTCTTAACCATTGAACCACAAAATTAAAAAAAAGTTTAAATTTGTGTAGATAGACATACCTCACAGAAATAGTCTATTGGGTAAGAATTATGTATCTAACTCTTCTAGATCCTATAATAAAGGGATTCTCGTGTATTTAACTGTTATTTTTTTAGAAAATTTTCATTATGCCATAATTCAACCAACTAAACTTAAATTCATTGAATCAAGTGTCATTTGAAGCACATTCATGAACATGAATGATCCTATGAATCACTTAATAATTCAGCAAAAACATTCATCAACGCCAACTCATAAAACCCTTTAGTGTTTCAATAACATATAATTTATTGCTAAAAACATTATTGGTCGGTTTTATAGTCATTCAAAAATTATATATCATATCTCTCAAGACGACGTAACTAAAAAGATGAATATGCATGCAACTCAAACCTAAAATCACAATAATCTAATTAAAATTGAATGATCACAAGTCACACCTAACTCCATTATTGGTGCAAAATAAAGAGAATCATCTTCCAATAGGGACCCAAGATCTCCAAAATAGAACAATCCCTCCACATTTTATTCTTCCACCATATTAATTTCTCTCTTAAAATAAACACATCCACCACATCAAGGGCAATTCTGTCACTTCACCAAAAATTCCTAGTACTTGAATATGGAAAAAATATTGAGTATAACTGCTGCACCATTTCAGCAGTATTACGTGGTATAATCGTTCACTAATAAGTAAACAAATATTTAGATGATCCTAACAAAAATTCATAACTACCTCAACTATGTAATACATAACCACATCAACGATAAAAAAATAGGTCCTAATGGTGTGGTAAAAAAGATGAGCATAACTCGTGGATCATACGAACAAGTGTGGACCTGAGCTACAATGCTCGTGCAAACAACGACAGGATTTCTGAGGAATCAAGGAAGCAAAACATAGTGCAATTACAGTGGTTCATCGACTTGAGAGTCCGGCTAATCCACTCTTCAAGGGAGTTTCCTACTTCCTTTATATTTATTCACTATAGATATGACTTACAAAGTATTTTTGATGGTATTAGGTTTTTCTTGCCTTATAGCACAATTTGTATCTCTAAGAGATCTGCAGCGAGATTCTTGTTCTTCATCCGCGGGGCTTTTCTTGATTTTAGAAGGGGATATTGGGTGGTTGAGAGTTTCACACCTTGATCACTGCTCTATAGCTACTCTGTGGACTTTTTTTTTTCTGACCAACTGTTCTTTCCTTGACTCCTCTGATTTTTCATCAGAGAAGAGCTCAGGACTTGGGCTTCAGAGCTCTGAGCTCTCCGTCTGACCTCCTTGTCTGACCTCGCTTCTCGAGCTCATATTTGGTTAAAATTCTTATTCACGTATCATCAATTCCCATTTTATAATTAGATAATTATACTACATGAATATTGTTGACATGATATAACTGTTACACCCATAATTATACTATATGAATATTGTTGACATGGTATAACTGTTACACCCAATATAGAATATGAAAGAAAAAACATACTTGCATGATAAGAGAATTTATAATATAAAATAAAACAAATTTCAATAAGTTTATTCGATAGTCACCTACATCCCTCTCAAAATCATTCACATTGAATTTTTTTCTCCCAAATCCATCACTTTTCATTTACATCGCACTGTACTTTTAGATATAGGTTAACCTTAGTATTCAATACAACGATGATATTATGTCAACATTAATGACATGATATCACCAACTAATAATAAAATATTAAATAAATAAAATAAACTTTACTTGAATAATTATTAATTTACATAAAAGAAAAATAAGTAGTTCCATGGATGGGTAGCCATTGCTTTGTGTGAGATTCATTTTTTTATTAATATATGGTATTACATAACAATATTGGCAGGGTCGATACGGTGAATATNATTTATTTTTTTATTTTTTTATATATTATTAATTTATGGTATTACATGACAATATTGGCATGATATTGTCTATGCAATGAATATTTTTTTTTCATAAATTACCATAACAATAAAAAAAGCTTACGTAAGAAAGAGAAAAAGACTTTTACTATATATGTATGAGCACAACCCCACACAAAGTAGAAGAGAAGTACACAATTAAACAGTATAACGCCATAAGAATCTCTCTGTTCTCCTTTGATTACGGTAGAGAGAGGAAGAGGGAGAGGGAGCAAACAAATGGAATAAACCACACCCTCAGCCTCAGAACCATACCATGGACAAAACAAAAAGCAACGGTTCTCAATAGAAACCTCCATTACCGTCGTCCTTCTTGCTCCATAATTTTCTCCTCTCTCTCCTCTCTCCTCTCTTTTTTGACTTGGGTTTCATTTATTTCATTTCTCTGTGGCTATGTCAACCGTTGGCAAAACCGCCATCAACTCCGCCAGCGGTAGCCCCAGACTCGGCGGTCCCACCACTCACCGACGCCGCGTTGCAGATTTAATGACAGAAACAGAGAAGCCAGCAGATAACATACCCTGTAAATTAGATCACGCTGATCATGAAAATCACGATACACACAGTGACAATGACGGCGGCCACGGTGGGTGCCATTGCCATAACCACCAGCACCACCCTTTAAGGCGGTATATGGTGGTACGTAAAAGGGTGCCAGAAATGTGGGTTTTGGGTGCAGAAGATTTTTTCTTCAGATTATGTACAGTGTGGCATTTTTCGAAATCAAGAACGAATGTGGGGCGTATTGTATTTGGGGTTTTGATGATGATGTTGGTTTTGTCGGTTTTTGTGAAATTTTCATTCATGGGTGGTCATTTAGTAGAGGTGAATGGGAAGGTTATTAGGAGAGAGAATGGACTGTTGATGCTTCAGGCGTTTAAGGGTGATTGGTCTTATGCTCAGAGGGTTTTGTCTGAGGCATCTTCCGGTGCTGTCATCCCTAACCTCCGACTGATGAAAGAGTTAACTGTAAGTGTAATCTGTTTGATATTTATTCTTTCTTCTTTCCCCATAAGACCCTCTGTTTGATTGCTGAGAATTTTGAGTAAAGCAGAAAAAAATTGAATTTCAAAATCATTTTTTTTCTGGGTATTTATTTCAGTTTTGGTGGTTAAAAGATAGAAAATTTAATTCAACATGCCTAATCTTGAATGACCCAAAACTATCAAAACTCAGATTTATGTTATTTTCGTGCTTCTTCTCAGCTACCAATTGATACAAGTTTTTTCGTTAATTACATTTTTTTTGGTACAAGGGTTATTAGGATATTCACGCCGGGTTTTTGCCGTTTTCATGCATTTTCTTTGGGTGATTTCTGAATTTACCACAAGTTTTTCCCTTCTTATTCTGAATTTCATCTTTTGGAGGGTCTGGTCTTTTCATTTCTCACATCAAAGCCTTTTGTGTTTTGGAATATCTTTTTAGAACACGGTTTGTAGATTTGTTGAATATTGAATGGTTGGCATCTTAGTTTTGGCTGGCCAGTGGCCACAAACCAACCGTGCATTGAATTTGGCCATTTGCCTTTTGACCATCAATTTTATTTTCGAAGTGGCTTTCTGATGATTAGTTGACCGTTATAGTCTTATTTGTCACTTTGTTTTACACCTTGTTAAGGCGCTTTTTTCTGTGACATTTATATGCAAGACAGATTGTGTTGTGATCCTGGTAGGACTTACAATTTTTGTTTCTTTTCTCCAGGTCCCAGAAATTTGGATGAAACCAAATAGCGATAGTTATTATCAATGCATTGCTCGACCAATGAATCGAATAAGTATGTCCAGTTTTCCAATTTCCATTTTTATCGAACACCGGTGCACAAAATGATTTTTTCTCCTAATATGTGCCCCTTTGAACTTCTTTTAGGGACGGGTTCAGCAACAAATGGTTATATCATGGTTCATGCTAATGGTGGATTGAATCAGATGAGAACTGGAGTAGGTTTCAAGTCTAACTTACATTTAGTTTTCTATTTTCTGTTATAACAAGTAGTGATATTATTCTAACTACATACATTGATTCAAATGCAGATATGTGATATGGTTGCTATTGCAAAAATTATGAATGCCACCTTGGTTCTTCCTTCTCTCGATCATCAGTCCTTTTGGACTGATCCCAGGTATAATTTGTTAGTCCTAGTATTTAGCAGAGAGTATCTTTAAGTCTTTATTGTGGTCTTTTTAAAAATTTTCTGCTACTTTTGCAGTGATTTTAAAGATATTTTTCATTGGAAGCACTTCATTGAGGTTTTAAGAGATGATATTGAGATAGTTGAATCCTTGCCACCCCATTATGCAACAGTGAAGCCCTTTCCAAAGGCCCCTGTATCATGGTCGAAGGTGTGCAAGCAATATGAACTTGTAAAGTACTTTTATGTTTCATTGCAATAATCTAGTGTTGGAACTTTATCTTAGATGCTTCATATGCAGGCTAGTTACTACAGAGGGGAGATTCTTTCTTTGTTGAAGCGGCATAAGGTGATCAAGTTCACCCATACTGATTCACGACTTGCTAACAATGGCCTCGCAGCCTCTATCCAGAGGCTTAGATGCCGTGCCAATTATGAGGCTCTCAAGTACACCAATGAGATCGAGGAGCTTGGGAAGAAACTGGTGAACAGACTAAGGAAAAATAGTGAGCCATTCATAGCTCTTCATTTAAGGTAGTTGTAATCCTAAATATCATGTGTGAAGTCAATTATTTATGGAGGAACTTAAATGATTGATCTTGCNTACATTTAGTTTTCTATTTTCTGTTATAACAAGTAGTGATATTATTCTAACTACATACATTGATTCAAATGCAGATATGTGATATGGTTGCTATTGCAAAAATTATGAATGCCACCTTGGTTCTTCCTTCTCTCGATCATCAGTCCTTTTGGACTGATCCCAGGTATAATTTGTTAGTCCTAGTATTTAGCAGAGAGTATCTTTAAGTCTTTATTGTGGTCTTTTTAAAAATTTTCTGCTACTTTTGCAGTGATTTTAAAGATATTTTTCATTGGAAGCACTTCATTGAGGTTTTAAGAGATGATATTGAGATAGTTGAATCCTTGCCACCCCGTTATGCAACAGTGAAGCCCTTTCCAAAGGCCCCTGTATCATGGTCGAAGGTGTGCAAGCAATATGAACTTGTAAAGTACTTTTATGTTTCATTGCAATAATCTAGTGTTGGAACTGTATCTTAGATGCTTCATATGCAGGCTAGTTACTACAGAGGGGAGATTCTTTCTTTGTTGAAGCGGCATAAGGTGATCAAGTTCACCCATACTGATTCACGACTTGCTAACAATGGCCTCGCAGCCTCTATCCAGAGGCTTAGATGCCGTGCCAATTATGAGGCTCTCAAGTACACCAATGAGATCGAGGAGCTTGGGAAGAAACTGGTGAACAGACTAAGGAAAAATAGTGAGCCATTCATAGCTCTTCATTTAAGGTAGTTGTAATCCTAAATATCATGTGTGAAGTCAATTATTTATGGAGGAACTTAAATGATTGATCTTGCTGCAGATACGAGAAAGATATGCTCGCATTCACTGGCTGTAGCCACAATCTCACTGCAGCAGAAGCTGAGGAACTTCGTATCATGAGGTATGATGTCAAGCACTGGAAAGAGAAAGAAATAGACAGCAAAGAACGGCGACTCCAAGGGGGATGCCCAATGTCTCCCAGGGAGGCAGCTCTATTCCTAAAGGCCATGGGGTATCCTTCATCCACAACAATATACATAGTTGCAGGGGAAATTTATGGTAGTAACAGCATGGACGCATTTCGTTCAGAGTTTCCAAATGTTTTCTCCCACTCCACTCTTGCGACAGAGGAAGAGTTGGAGCCTTTCAAGCGCTATCAGAATCGTCTTGCAGCCTTGGATTATATTGTAGCCCTTGAAAGTGATATGTTTGTTTACACATATGATGGAAATATGGCGAAGGCATTGCAGGGGCATAGGAGGTTTGAAGGATTTCGAAAAACAGTCAACCCTGACAGGTTTATTGTTTGCTTCTGGCTTTTTATTCGTTTAGATTTTTGTGTAGTCATCACTTCTATCACTGATTTTTTTTTGCCTATTTTCATTTCAGATTGAATTTTGTTAGACTAATAGATTTGTTGGATAAGGGAGCTATTTCTTGGGAAGAATATGCCTTGGAGGTGAAGAAGTCACACACCAACAGACTCGGAGCACCGTACCTTAGGCAAGCAGGAGAAATGCCAAGACTAGAGGAGAATTTTTATGCAAATCCTTTCCCTGGTTGTGTTTGTAATAGATCTCAGGAGCAAATTAGTAGCCTGCAACTTGACCGGAGACCGAGTTTAAGGGTTGCTTCACAAAGATAGGATTTTGATATTAGTTAGATATGTGGCTTCGGTGTTAAAATAGACGACACTCGTTGCTCCAAATGTCGCTTATATGGGTACAAGAAAGAAATTGAGTTTTCACCTATCCAGGGGACCATAGCAGCAAACCGGTCCATGGAGAGGTCTCAAACTCAAGTGATTTTGCAGATGCAAGTTAATAGTTTTGATGCACAAATACACAAGAAGAAACCAATACTACGAGGAAGCAGAGAAGGTGTCCTACACAAAAGAGACCAATTACAAGTCATTTTAAATGTGGGTTACAGATATTTGTACCTATATTCATTATTTTTTTCTTGGTTCAATTGTCATGTTCAGTCGCCAAATGAGGCTCATTGTAGATTTGTATGTAACCATTGTTCAAGATTGTAATAAAAATTTCTTCTACAATTTTGTCTGTGTTCCATTTACTGATACCAAAGGTAGGCCATATCAATCAAGAAGCTTTACTGATGGGGCTTGCAACGATTTACCAACAGACTTCAACTCTATGACTGTACTGATATCACTGACGATCAACCATATTTCAAAGGTTGAAGGTCAACGCCCTTACTCATCCTATGTTTTTGATTATTTATGTATCGTGCGCTCAGTTTACAAGTACCTCGTGGTCGTGGAGATATCAGTGCTCAAGTTGAATGCTTTTCTTGGCTATGAAGCTTTCATATATTACTAATGCACAGAGATGTCCTAGAGCAATTACCTTTTTTACTTTGTTTCCCATTTGATTGTGTTGTATTAGTCCATTTTTGAACTTTCTTCTTTTCCAGGGCCCTCTTGACAAGGAAAATGCACATTATGGCTTTGGCGCAGTTGTAAGATTCTTCCACTGTGACTTGGTTGTCATGAGTTCGAGGCACCAAAACAGTCACTTCGTCTTCACATGAGGGGTTAAGACCGCATCCGGACTGTGTAATGGCTGAATCATTATGCACTTGGCTGCCCTTTTTTTCAATTGTTGTCACATTCTTCTTCCTCAATAAAGTAAAAAAACTTATTCGATGTGGCCACTTAACTTGTTCTCTTTTATATAAAAGTGCATGTGCTTCAATCATTTAGGAGTTGCATCCAGAATCTATGAAGCTTAGCTGGATATGTCATTTGGCTCCCAGGTGAATTGAGTTGGCTACCTGTTGTAGGTTTTATCAGGAATTATGATGGTGAAAAACTTTTGTTGAAGCCGCAAAATCTATACAAAAGATTCAAATGTGTGCATGTAATTGTCATAGCATTTAATTTTGGGACCATAAATCCACTTGTGGATAGTTAAGCTGGACCAATAACGCAGAAACGTTTGCTAGATTTGTCCTTGTTAATCAACCTACTGTTTCGGTTCTTCAATGTGATCCTAGTTCTATTCAAACTACAGACTTATCTCTACATGATAATGGTGATCCTGATACATCTACTCATGATAAGGATGCTTAGGACTTGATATATCTGTTGATGGTTGGGATAAGGATGCTTAGGATATTTCTGTTTTGATTAGGATTAACTCTGGTNTTCGGTTCTTCAATGTGATCCTAGTTCTATTCAAACTACAGACTTATCTCTACATGATAATGGTGATCCTGATACATCTACTCATGATAAGGATGCTTAGGACTTGATATATCTGCTGATGGTTGGGATAAGGATGCTTAGGATATTTCTGTTTTGATTAGGATTAACTCTATTTTGATTAGGATAAGGATTAGGATTAACTCTGTTTTGATTCTACTGATTTGTACTCTATCTTTTGTAATCTTCTGTTGTATCTATATAAACAGTGAATGGTATACTGTTTTGGTATCTGTTGGAGATATAGCAGCTTAGTTTATTAAGGTTTATTAAGTTTTCTCTTTTTTACATTTTTATCCTTATTGTAACTTTCATTGGCTATATATACGAAGCTCTACACTTAGTTTGTATCCTTTTTCACTCACAATTATTTCAAGTTGGTATCAAAGCCTAACCNTTGTACTCTATCTTTTGTAATCTTCTGTTGTATCTATATAAACAGTGAATGGTATATTGTTTTGGTATCTGTTGGAGATATAGTAGCTTAGTTTATTAGGGTTTATTAAGTTTTCTTTTTTTTACATTTTTATCCTTATTGTAACTTTCATTGGCTATATATACGAAGTTCTACACTTAGTTTGTATCCTTTTTCACTGACAATTATTTCAAGTTGGTATCAAAGCCTAACCCTAACCCTAACCCTAACCCTCATCATCCTTCACCGACGAATAGCAACCGTCAATATCAAGACAGTCGACGATTAGCAGCAACACAACATCCTGGTATCATAAAACCCTGTAAATCAGCAACACAACATCGACTGATCAACACAGCACCGACTGACCACAAGACATCACAACTGACTGACCAAAAAGTTGTAAATCGACAGCGCCAAACCAACGCAGTGACGACTGAACCAAGCGGCATCACACCGACTACCCACCAGCAACCTAGGCACCGACTGCCCATCTCTCTCCACCGACTGCCCTATATCAATTGTCGAAAACCAGACTGTCCAGTCCAGACGAAACCTAGCCACCGAAACTTCAAACCAGCACCGACAACATATATCAAATACGCCGAAACCCATAAACACAATACCATATACCCACTGAAACCAAACCGACTGGCCATATATAGCCTACCAAGCACNAACATATATCAAATACGCCGAAACCCATAAACACAATACCATATACCCACTGAAACCAAACCGACTGGCCATATATAGCCTGCCAAGCGCCCTTTACCCATTCTCCATATAATAATAATAATAGATCCAACCCAATAAAACCATTCCTACTGCTGGATCATTGTCCAGCCCACTGCTAGGTCACAATTTTCGTTGTGACTTTGTCCTAGGACTTTTTTGGGAGGGAGCGGATTCTCCGGTGATCTGTTTTTGATGCAGTAGATCACTTATNTAATAATAATAATAGATCCAACCCAATAAAACCATTCCTACTGCTGGATCATTGTCCAGCCCACTGCTGGGTCACAATTTTCGTTGTGACTTTGTCCTAGGACTTTTTTGGGAGGGAGCGGATTCTCCGGTGATCTGTTTCTGATGCAGTAGATCACTTATTNAACCCAATAAAACCATTCCTACTGCTGGATCATTGTCCAGCCCACTGCTAGGTCACAATTTTCGTTGTGACTTTGTCCTAGGACTTTTTTGGGAGGGAGCGGATTCTCCGGTGATCTGTTTTTGATGCAGTAGATCACTTATTATTTTTATTGGATTTCTTTATTGAATTTCTGGGCACCATGACTTGATTATTTGGGAGCTTTCTGAACCTTTTTTATTTATCGTTACTGTTCGACTGGAGGTATATTGTTCTCACTTATTTTATCTCTCTATTTATCTTAGAGTTGTTTTTGTCACGGGTGCCCTTGTATTGTTGATGATATGACTACTACTGAGGGAGTTGAGAACCCTACCATTGAGACATTTATTAGTACTTCCACCGGGTATAGGGGTCGATAGCGCTCGGCCCAACGCCGTCAAGGTATCTTACATCAGTGTAGATATGAGGATTCTCGTCAGTGTGATTATTGTAGCTGACTAGGACATCTCAGGGCTACTTGTTGGAAGCTCCATATGGAGCTTAAGCCGCCTCCTCCCAACCGTACTGCTGCCATTGCTAAGGAACCACCACCTACAGTCATTGTTCCTGTTACTACTGTTACTGCTCCTCCTTAGCAGAGTGATTTGGATGCTATTACTTCTCGCTTGGATATACTTATGTCAGCCTTGATTTCTCAAGGTTCAACTACTACTGCTACAACTACTACAGGTATACCTCGTGCCTTTCATACTTGTGCCAGTTCGTCTCCTCTTTGGATGCTCGACTCGGGTGCTAATGGTCATATGACAGGTGAGACCCATCATTTCACTTTTTTTGACGAGCATTTACATACTCAAGTTCAGTTAGCAGATGATACACATGCCCCTATTGTTAGTAGGGGTACAGTTTGCCTCCTAGATGGATTTACATTACGTTCAGTGTTTCATACGCCAAAGCTAGCCATGAATCTATTATCTGTACATCAGTTAGCTAGAGATTTTCACTGTGCGGTTGTATTCTTATCTGATTCGTGTTATTTGCAGGACCTGAGTACTAAGAGAATTATTATCAGGGGACATGAGAAAGATGGACTGTATTATTTAGGCAATCCACTTCCGATTTCACCAGTTTCTCCACCTCCACCTCCATCACCTGCTTTGTCTTTATCTGTTCCTAGTTTACATGCTAGTAGTTTACCTAATACTTGTCGTTATGATTTTTCATCACAAACTGTTCAGTTGTGGCATGACCGTTTTGGGCATACAAATTTTAAATATTTATGTATGCTATTTCCTACTTTGAGCAAAGCTTGTATTAGTGGCAAACTTGACTGTGTTATATGTTCCCTATCAAAATATGTTCGGACCAATTATATTCATCATATGCACCAATCACCCAAACCATTTGACCAAATACACTCGGATATTTGGGGATCCTCTCCTGTTACTGCTCTGTCAGGTGCCGGATATTATGTGACATTTATAGATGACCATACCCGTTGTACTTGGGTCTACCTTTTGCATAGGAAGTCTGATGTACTCCCTGTCATCACTCAATTTCTTCAGATGATTAAAACACAATTCGATGTCATTGTTCGTGCTCTTCGTTCGGATAATGCCAAAGAAAATGTGTCTGATGCCTTAGTGTCTCACCTTTCTTCTCAGGGTATCCTTCAGCAGCTCATTTGTCCATATACTCTTGAGCAAAATGGAGTTACTAAAAAGAAAAATAGGAGTCTGATAGGGATGATACGTTGTATGCTTAGAGGTATGGGGGTACCAAAATCTTATTGACATTTTGCTGTTTCGACTTCTACCTTTTTGTGCAATCGTACACCGAGTCGTGTTCTTCAGCATAGGGCCCCCTTGCAGGTCTTATTCTCTGAGCGAACACTTTTTTCGATCCCCCCTCGTGTTTTTGGCTACACATGTTTTATTCAGGATCGGTCTCCTACTCGTCATAAGCTTGATGATAAAATGATTCGTTGTGTTTTTGTGGCTATTGTCATCAGTCTAAAGGGTATCGGTGTTATGATCCTGTATCACAGTCTAGATATTACCTTCTTCGAGCATATTCCTTATTTTTCTTTCAGTCCTGTGTCTGCCCCTCCAGTTGATNGTGGGCTATTGTCATCAGTTTAAAGGGTATCGGTGTTATGATCCTGTATCACAGTCTAGATATTACCTTCTTCGAGTATATTCCTTATTTTTCTTTCAGTCCTGATACTCCATTTGATTTTCCATTACCACCAGAGCTAAAACCATTGGTCACTATCACTACAGAGTCATTGGTCTCTCCTCCTCCAAAGCCACTCATCCTTGTCAATACAGAGTCATCAATTTCTCTTCCTTTGCAGGTTTATGTTCATCGCCCTCGCTCTCATCCCCCTGCTGATGCCCCCTCTACCTCAGGCAATGCAGGTAATACTTCTCAGTTAGTTGAGCATATTGATGCACCTGTTGTTAGTACTGATGAGATTGCAGGTACTGAGCCAATTGTTTTACCTGATGAGACATTATTAGTGGACGATGATGATTTAGGACGTCGTTATCCACAGCGTAATCGTTGTCCAGTTGTTCATTATGGTTGGACCACTAGGATTTTATATCCGATCTTTNTAGTGGACGATGATGATTTAGGACGTCGTTATCCACAGCGTAATCGTTATCCAGTTGTTCGTTATGGTTGGACCACCAGGATTTTATATCCGATCTTTGCTTATGTTTCTTATGATGATCTGTCTCCTACATTTCGAGCTTATAGTATGACCTTATCAGATACGCCGGTTCCTCGCTCTATTTCAGAGGCTATGCGGGAGTCCTAGTGGATTTTTGCCATGTAGACAGAGATGGACGCTCTTCAGCGTAATCATACGTGAGATCTTGTCTCTTTACCTTCAGGAGTGAAGCTTGTTAGCTGTCACTGGGTTTACATCCTGAAGTTTCTTGCGGATGGTACTATTGATCGTCACAAGGCTAGGCTTGTGACAAAGGGCTTTACTCAGGTACCAGATCGTGATTTTGGTGTTACCTTTGCCTCCGTGGCAAAATTGACTACTGTTCAACTGATTATTTCTCTGGCTACCGAGTACTCTTCATCAGTGGGATGTGAAGAATGCATTTCTTCACGGTGATCTGGACAAGATTATTTATATGAATGCACCACCGGGCTTTCGTGGTGAGGGGGAGTTTATTAGNTTGCCCTCGTGGCAAAATTGACTACTGTTCAACTGATTATTTCTCTGGCTACCGAGTACTCTTGGCCTCTTCATCAGTGGGATGTGAAGAATGCATTTCTTCACGGTGATCTGGACAAGATTATTTATATGAATGCACCACCGGGCTTTCGTGGTGAGGGGGAGTATATTGGAAAGGTTTGTCGACTGCGTAAGTCTCTTTATGGATTGAAACAGTCACCACGAGCCTGGTTCTTTTGCTTTAGTGATATAGTTATACATTTAGGATTCACCAGATGTCATTCTGATCATACTTGCTTCATTTGACGGAATACTTCCAGACAGTGTGTCATCCTTTTCGTATATGTTGATGATATTATTATTACTGGAGATGATGTTTCTGGGACTGTGCAGGTTAAGGTGGACCTTGGGAAGGCCTTCAATGTGAAGGACCTTGAATTTTTTGCGATACTTTCTTGGGATTGAGGTTGCCCATAGCAGCAGAGGTATTGTTTTTTCTCAGAGAAAGTATGTTCTGGACTTTATCTCAGACACTAGGATGCTGGGGTGCAAACCGGTATCATCACCCATGATTCCAAACCTAAAGCTTACTGCTTAAGGTGAGGAGTTGGGAGATCCGACTGTCTATTAGAGGTTGGTAGGTAGACTTATCTACCTAGTCAATACTAGGCCAGACATTTCATTCGCTGTTAGCCGAGTTAGTCAGTTCATGCACATATTATGTCAGCCACATCTTGGATGCAGTTTATCATATTCTTCGGTACCTCAAGTCTTGTCCTGGACTTGAGTTGTTCTATGCATCAAGATCTCAGATTAGTTTTCTAGCCTGTTATTCAGATTTAGATTATGGGGGAGCATGTGATGGTCATTCTACTACGGGCTTCTGTGGTTTTCGAGGGACTCATCTTATCTCTTGGAAAAGTAAGAAACAGTCAGTTGTCTCTCTTTCGTCAGCAAAGGCAGAGTATCGAGCATTAGCACTTGGCACATGTGAGATTATCTGGCTACGATCGATTCTTGGCGAGTTGGGACTTCTAGTGACTTCTTCATCTACTTTATATTGTGATAATTGATCTGCTATTCAGCTCGCTTCTGATTTTGTATTACACGAGAGGACGAAATATATAGAGATTGATATTCACTTTCTTCGGGAGAAGATTAGCAGTGGCATTGTCATTCCATTATTTGTGGGGACTAGTGATCAGGTTGTGGATGTTTTCACCAAACCTGACACTCTATCCATTATTCGGGACTCTATTATCAAGCTTGATTTAGTTGACATTTTTGCGCCTAACTTGAGGGGGAGTGTTGGAGATATAACAACTTAGTTTATTATGGTTTATTAAATTTTCTCTTTTTTACCTTTTTATCCTTATTGTAACTTTCATTGACTATATATACGGGGCTCTACACTTAGTTCGTATACCTTTTTCACTAACAATTATTTCAAGTGTATCAAATACCAAAACTTCCATAATTATCGTTATCAAATCTTACAGTCCTGAAAACAATTTTTTCTTGTCGCTTTAATTTAAGAATTTGGCAAATAGAACCTAAATTTTGCAAACTACTTGGATGGGATTCTTGGATGCCCCGGCACCTCAGCCATGGGGAACTTGGTGAAAGAAAACTGAATCATTGTAGCCGAACTCATGAAGTTTCTTTTGATTTGTCACGCCAGTCATGCAGATTAGATCGCTTATGTGAACTAATCCTGAAATCAACTTCAAACTGATGTTAGAACCATTGTTAGGTTGTCTGTCAATGTTAATTTGATTCCAAGATACTTTAAGAATGCGATCAAAAGTTGTAGTCTTATATTGAAAGGTGATCCATTCAACAAAGAATGTACATAACTATGATTGCCATAGAATGAGTGCATTATCCCCAGTTTGGTTGTTGCATAGATTAGGTGAGGTATCATAGCAGGGGAGTTATTGATAAGCATTTTTTTATGTCTTTGAGGGAATTATTGAGTAAACTGTATATTCATATATAAGAGAACCAGACATCCCAGAGATACTTTTCTTTTCTTTTTTTTCAAGATTATGTGCCTAGATATTCAAATTATGTTCACTGCTGTAACTAGAGTCTCAATGATCATAATAGTTGCGGTGATCACTCGAAGCACACGATACAATAGTAAGAGATGTGTTAGTAGTTTAAGTTGTTTAGAGATGTGTTACCGGTAGCTACATTTAGAAAGGTCTCGTTGCCTTTGTGGTAGCATTTAGACTAGCTTTTGTTTATATTTCGTTCATACATTCAACTAGGATTTAGTGTAAGCTGAATAGTTTTACCATCTTCTGCTGATTAGCGCGATATCTACATGAAACAGCATCTTATGGCTTCCCAGCATTATGATAACTAATCAGATCTAACAGATCAGCTCACCATCTTCCTTATGATTAGTGTCAGGTTTCAATTCACTGGAAGATGACTGTTTCTGGTTCATCTGTGGAGCAAAATAGCTACCGGTTGTCAAGCCTAATAGCCTGCAGAGGTGGTGAATCAACAAATAGAAAGTTCCATTTGTGTGCTAGGTGCTGGGATGTTGCAAAACATTACTAGAAATTAAACAACCATGGTTTACTGACAAAGCTAGGGCAATCTATCCAAAATTCACAAACATAGACTAATATAAATCGCGTTCTCTTGGAGAGGAACGCAAGTATTGCACATTCGATGTTTGCATTGCATAATGAGACACTTCTTCACTACAAAACAAATTACATGGATCTCTAAATTAGAACCACAAAAAACGATAGAATAGATAGATTTTTAATGTGATTTGAACCATGACATTCAAATTACAATCGAGTAAATTACGAAGAGCCATTTATTCAAAACCCACAACATATACCCATATAAACTAAATCCTCCATGACCAAAACAACAAAACATACAGCACTAGACTACCCCTCCACCCCCAAGCACCACCTTGTAAAACTCATTCAACAGGGATCATGACTTCATTAGTCCTAAATGGGGGCAAAGTCCAAGGTGGATTATACCTAGCCAACACAAATTCCCCAACCACCTTATGCCCATCTCTCTCCAACCACTCCTTCAACCCCCTTACTTTCCCCTCCACCACTTCATCACTTGCCACCCCACTAAACCTCACCACCGCATACTTTCTCTCTCCCTCCTCCCTTATCACCACCCTCTCGTCCACCGGCTTCGGCGCCTCCTCCGCCTTCCCATATTTCGCCGGTAATGTAAACTGCATAGTCACCATTCTACCCTCATCCCCACCTGCCTTTGTCACAACCGGTGTAGTCATGGCAATCTTCTCTGATGATTTCGTTATGACCGGAGTTGTCATAGCAATCTTTTCCGGCTTGGTGTTCTGTGGGTTACCCAGTGCGCCAATGTAATTGGCTAAAACAGTGAATCCACCATCTTTGTCGCCTTTGAATTGGGTGGGATTGTATGTGACTTCGGCTATAACTGATGGTGAGTATTTCCGAATTTCGTAGTCGTTTTTGGATTGAATAACTTCATATTTCGGCGTTTCAACACAAATCTTTCCAAAAACCATACCCATAGTGGTGAGAAACTTTGTATTGGTTTAAGAGATTGTTTAGGTGTGGGATAGAGATTTGAGAAATGGGTTATTATGGATTACTGAGTAGTGGATTGTTGCCTTTTATACGCATTGTGGGAGGTATCAAATGTATTCTAAAACGTTCTGCTTGATGAGTAGAGAGGGGTTTAACTTGGGGAAGGAGTTAGGAACTTAGAACTTAGCAGGAAGATTCCGCGTACCGTATTGTACAAAACGAGTGGCTGGAAATAGGGATACATGAGTGCAGCTCGTTATGCCACGACTTGTCGTTTGAATTAAATCCCTCAAAATAGTCGGCGCTTATAGTTTGAATTTTCATTTTGCAAATAAATTATTCGTGAATTCGTACTCTTATTTTATAAAAATTTTAAATTTAAATTTTCAATTCGTACAATCATACTCTTATTTATTTATATACTTATATATATCTAAATACATATTAAATTATAATGATATTTGTAAACTGTAATTGTTATTTTAGAATTTTATACTCAATATATATTTAAAATTTACATAGTTTGTTATATAGTTTGTGAATTAAATTAATTTTTTTATATTTTAGTTTTATTATTGCTCAAAAAATTATTTTAATTTTGTTAAATTTTTATTGGTGAATAAATATTCTTATGTATATAATATGAGATTTTCAAAATACTTTCTCTCAATTTTTATTTTTTTTTGAATTTTGTCATTTTATAGCTCTCACTCTCATGTGTTGTTCTTACTCAGTGATCTAGGCTTGACCCAATTGTTAAAGTGTGTTTGGGTAAAATAGGATTTTTTTTAGATTAATCACAAATTGCACACTAAAAAATCTCTCAAATTTTAATTTGAACCTTCAAAGATAAAAAACTTTAATTTATACCCTCAAATATATAAATCTATATCAATGTGCACCTAAACTTAACAATTGTTATTTTGCTGCCTAAAACTAAATAGGTAAATTATACCTAGAAAGCCTTAGGTTTGTCACTTAATTATTATACCCCATCACATTTAAAATATTACATTTACACCCCGACGTTTGCACGCGTTTAACAAATAATCTTCTGTCGTCAATATCCGTTCATGTAATTGTTGAAAAATATGATGTCATCCTAATAAATAATTATAATTTTTATACTATCATTTATTTTGTGGGCCAATTGTACTATAAAATTTAAAATTAAGCTTATTTTTTGAATGTTCAATACAATACATGTATTATATAATGTTCAATAATACTGGTATTATATAATGGTCTTTATATACAATGCAATACATTACTTGAACAAAATTATTTAGATGTCCAATTTGAGGAACACCCAGTCATATGATACACTTTTTATATTTCAAAGAAAAAAAATAATAATGATACAATTTTCTTCTTTTGTTTTTGGTAGAATATATGGAAAATAAAAATGTTTATTTTTTTTATGCTCGGTAAGATGGAAAACATATATTTTTTTATTTTTTATATTTTTAAAATAAAAAGTGTAATACATATTTTATCATTGTATTTATATATTCAATTAATATATATATATATATATATATATCAAAGGATATATAGACAAATAAGATACATTTCAACATAAATAATTAACTTTCTATCCACTTTCCTTCCGATTTTGGAGGGATTGATTTTGATGAGTTGAAAGAAAAGTTTATACATCTACTTTTTTATTATTGTTATTTTCCTTTTTTACCAAACGTGATGTTATATATATCCCTTTAACTTTATATCTTTCTAACTTTTTACGGCAAACTAGACTGCCGTTAATTTCAGTTGTCCACTAATACAAATTTATATCAATAGGTGTAAATTAAAATTTTTAATTTTTGAAAAATACAAATTAAAATTCAAAAGATTTTTTGGGATACAATTTGTAAGTAATCCATTTCATTTATATTTTATCCTATCAAACCCAAACTTATTTAGCCACTTAAATTGGATGGGACTATATCCCGTCCGAGCCATTATTGTAAACAAGTTTTAAATTTCGTGGGACCCAATGGATTAGACAATTATTTTTGTATAATTTTACTATTCTACCCGTGGATTAGACAAATCAGATCCCCGACTCCACCCCCCTCTGATTCACATGAACTAGCAGATCCCCAGCCATCCACACCCCGCTTTAGCATCAAACACAAAAACGAAGAAGAACAAATCTAAACAACCCAATTCAGAACTCCTATCCCACCCCTTTGTTCTTGTAAGAGGCAAAAAATCAGGATTACCTCCTACTAGAATTGAAATGTTTATGGGTTTCTGAATTTGACCTCTCAATCTTCCTCTTTCTACAAAACGAACAAACTGTCCAAGATCGAAGTACTTCGATCGAAAGCACTCTGATGTGTAAGTCAGTAAAGATAATGAAACGAATAGAAGAAGACAATGAGGGTTCAGCGTACCTTTCTACTTCTCTCATTTTGCTTTTTATAGTTGGACATCCCCTTAGGGTTTCTGTAATTCTTGATTTAAGGTGGAACACCTTCCTCCAATTCAATGATTTGGTTTGAGAAATTGCTGATATTTCTCTATTATTTTCTTATGATATCTTCAATTTCTCTGATTCATTTATCTTGATTGCCTAAGTTATAGGCTAATTTTTATCCTTTTGTTTATCTTCTAAAACAGCTCAGTCATGTCGAATGCCGAGCACACTTGATATTTACCGAATAGATTAAGGGACTTTGTTTGACACAAACTGATCTCTTCAATTGTCTTGCCGAACTCTATAACGAACTCGGCTTGGTATAAGCCGAGCTTTTTCATTGCTTAACTGAACAGACTGATGAGTTTGGTCATAAAGAGAGCCGATATTTTTCATCCATTGCCGAACCTCTAATTAGCTCGGCTTAGTTAAAAAACTTTGATAGAGGATTGTTGATCACGTGCCTTGTCTTGTCAACATCACATGAGCGTATTTAATGTCATGTCACGTATAATCATGAGGTTTAACCTCTTCAGTTCTAATGAGCATTCTTATAAAAAGTGGACCACTATCTCGATGGATCACAAGACAAGCAGTTTCTTTTTAAAAACATTGCTCGCAGACTATCAGAGTTAATTAATTTATTTTTGAAAACATAAAGGGGCTGTTTGGTTTGAATTTTTGTTCTCCAATTTTTGGAAAAAGAGAGATGTAAAGAACAAAAAATAGAGAACCAGTTTAATTTGTTTTGCGTGTTTTGGAGACAAAAGAAGGAAAAAAATGAAAAAAACGGAGAACATCAACCTATTTAATGAAGTGTCCCCTCCGAGTCTCCTTAGAAGCAAAACAAGTTATAGTATAAAAGCCTTTTTTTTTCCTTTTGTCTTTGTCTTTGGCAGACCACTCATGATTTGTCCCCGTCTCTCCTCTCTCTCTCTCTCTCTCCACAAACTCGATGTCTTCTCCGACGAATGCATCTTCTTCGGTGATTGTGTTTTCTCCGGCAAAACACACACAGAGACACTGAAGCTCTCCGATGATTGGTTCAGATCTGGTTCAATCGGGTGAAAAAACTGATTTGATATATTTTTTTGTGGATATGGTTATATATGTATTTAAACCAGTGTTATCAGAACCGGATCAGACATTGAACCGACAGAGAGACCGGGTCAATGGTTCACTGGTTCAATCGTTGTTGGGTCAATTGGTTGAACCGGTTGTATTAAAAAATATAAAAATAAAATATAATATGATAATTTAGTAAAAAAAAATTAAAAAAATATTACAATAGATACAATTTATGTTTGAGACAAGAGATAACGCCCAACACAATTAACAATAATGGAAGATGTGATTGAAATAATATAACATAAACAGCCACTTGAATTAAGAGAAAATTACTAAAAAAAAATTTTAAACACAGCTCAACAAAATTAAACATAATAAAGCAATGCCTTCTAAAAATTAATATACCCAAAAATAATATACCCAAATTTGGGGATCCCAAAAGTAATATACCCAAAGTAAGAGTTTTCTTCTTCTAAGTTGCCTTTAGATTTGGATAACCAAAACCAAAAAAGACAGATTGAGAGAGAAAAGAAGAGAAGACAAAACAAAAGACTCTGTGTGTGTGTGAGAGAGAGAGAAGAAGAAGAAAGACATGACTAGAGAAGACTCGAAATGGAAGATCAAGAGTCGACTGGTTCGCTAGAGCTTGGTGGTTGATGGGACATTTCTAGAAGGGTGCTGGTGTGATGACATGTGTACTCGGTCCCGAGGGCCTCTCCTTGCCTGGGTCTGGCGAGTTCATGTGTCCTGGTCTCAGCGTCCCCTCTGCTCCGACGAATTGCCTCTAGTATTTATCTCGGCCCCGAGGAACCACGACATCAATCCCTGAGTCATTGTTTTCTTAGGAAGCCAGTGACTGACGACTGAAACAAAGCCAGATAGACAATTATGATGACACTCTACACGATAAAGTCAGTATGACTGGATGAACTAGACATTCAGCCAAAGGGAGTCAGACGCGTGGCATAAATCATAAGATGGGTGGTAACAAGACAGAACTACCCCTGCTGATATGCGGCTAATAGAGACAGGCATTTAATGCATTGTCAGTTGATAAGACGTCTAGCATGGGTTGATAAGCCAGGCAAGAGAAGCATTAAATGCTCTAGGATCCAAGCATTCAATACCTCAACATTGAAGAAAGAGCATTAAATGCCCAAACAGTGCAAGCAATTAAGATGGGAGCATTCCCCATGAAAAGTATGGGAATACTGTCCTATCTCTGAAGATTATCAACTGACTAGACTGTCAGCAATGATTAACCTTTAAAGGTATAAATAGCCCTCAAAAGCACATGGCTGAGGTACGCAAAATCACCTCTTAATAACCCAAAACAGTGTTTTCTTCTTCCTCTCTCTCAAAGAACTAACTTGACCGTCGGAGGGGATATGCCAAAAAATACTCCGAAGCCCTTCTAACCTATTTTCTGTGTTCCAGGAATTCCTTGTGAGCCATCAGGATCAGTGCTACAACACTAGAGACAATTCATCA